TCCCTACCCTGAGCGTGCCTCCCGGGCCATGCTTGCAGTGCCCGGGGCCCTGGGGCGTGGACACCAGACCTGGGGGAACGGGGGTCCCCTTGGGGCGGGGGCGCGCACCGGGCCCGCGCCTTCACACCTGCGGGGGGCGGGGCGGGCGCCACGTGCGGGCGGCGCGGGGAGGGCGCGGGCGCGTGGATTCCCCGCGGCTTCCGCCCCAGCGTGGCTTCCGCGTGCGCCCTGGCCTGCCCCCCGCGCTTCCTCCTCGTGAGTGGCGGCGCTGCGGCCCAATGGCAGGGCCCACGCGCGTCCGGGGGCGGACTGGGGGTAACCGAGTCTCCCCAGAGGCGGGGTCCTGGGACTGGTGTAGCTCTCAGCCGCCCACCTGCGGGGAGGGGGGGTGCCGGAAGGAAGGCCTTGCAGGAGGCGGGAGGGGGCAGGTGACAGTGGCCCCAAGGCGCATATCCTTTTGCCCACGTGTGGGGCAGGGGCTCAGGCCTCTTCCAGCTTCCACTGCATGGGTTCTTCTGTACCTCTGTCAAGTTCAGGAAACTGTGTGTATGTGCCTGTGACTGTGACTGTGTGTGTCTGCACAGCCTCTAGATCCTGGGGGGTGGGAGGAGGTGCCACTGAGGAACCCAGAAAGCCAGGACCCGGCCTGGCCTTGGCCCTTGACCTGGGTCTGCCTGGGGCACAGCACTGGCCCTGCGCTGTGCTGCGTTCTCATGCTCAGGCCAGGTGTGTTCTCGGGGCCTCCCGTGTGCCTCTCCCCGGTCCTGTGCCCCTGAGCATGCTGTTGCTTGCTTCTTAACGCGGCTTTTGAAGCCGAGGCAGAAATCAGATCCACTCACCATTCATTCACCAAGTGACCCACAGGCAGCCAGCCGCTCCCTGGCCAGGTGCCTGGCCTCGGGAAGATCCTGAGACTCAAACCCCCCACCCCCTGCTGGACATATCTGTATGGGATAGGGATATCTGGTTGGGCTCCGGCACAGCCCTTCTCGCCCCTTTGATTCTTCAGGGTGGGCTTCTAGGTCTCTTGACTGGCATTGAGGTTTCATCGTGTGTTGTAAGGGGATCTCCAAGACAGAGAGGGGTGCGTGGTGCAGCTTCTCCAAGCCCAGCATCTTCAGGGACTTGGAGCGTTAAAAGAGCTGGGGGTGGGTCTGGAGAGTGTGGGTGGGCTGTGCAGGTGGCTGGGACACACCTGCACCGTATTTGGGTATTAGCACCATTTATGAGACTGTCTCCCCTCCTTAGGTAACTCAGCAGGAATGTGTGAGTTTGACCTTGGTAGAGGGAGTCTGCTTTTAAAACTAGACCTCTCATTATTCCAAAATAAGACATCTATTCAAGCAAAAACAAACCAGGCTTCTCCTGCCTTTTAGCCTTGAACTCAAGCAGGGCTTTGAGGGGCTGGTTCCCTGCAGTGTTGTTGACTCCCCAGGTGCCGGTAACCGGGATCGGGGGGACAGCGTTTACTGAGGGTTGGGGCTGTCGGGGTGCCAGCCTTTCTGTGCGCCTGGGAGGCTGCTGTTTCGGGCCACTCTGTGTCTACAAGGCGCGTGCTTTCACCCATGGGGCTTGCTGATGGCTGCGGCATTTGTTTACAGTCTCCGGCAAAGCTGTTTACCACCCAGACCGAGAAGAAGTTGTGCCTGTTCCTGTCCCAGCTGTTTCTGAGTCTAAAGGTTTCTGCAGTGGACTTTCTGGGTTTCGGGTCCAGTCCACACGGGAAATGGAAATCTGGCCAGCTGGGAGAACGCTCCATGTGGCTGCCTCTCCACAGTAAACAGTGACTCACTGCTCCGTCCCCACCCTCCCTGCTGTCCGAGAATGGAAGATGCTTTTCCCTGCTATTTATTTTTGCTTTTTATAAGTCACAGACTCGTCATGTTTCCGCTTTCCGGCAGTTTCAGGAAACTGGGAGTGTCGTCTTAAAATCGGAGTTTAGAGCAGGTACACATGAACCTGAGTGGCCACACGCCCCGCCCTGACCGGCCACTCTAGATGAGGAAACCCAGGCCATGACATCTTCTGGCCCGGCCCCAGGGCCGGTGGGGTCTGGTCTAAAGCCTGCCTGCGTCTCCACGCTGTGTGTCGGGCGTGTTGGGGAAGGTATTGTGGTGGAGACTGCCCTCTCCTTGCCCTCCCATGCGAGGCTGGCTCATCTCGTGCAGTGGGGACTCATGTAGGTTGTAGGGAAGATATGCTCCCTGCTCGCAAGGAGCTCACCATGCTGTGGGGAGGCCCCCTGTCCCCAGAAGGATCTAGAACCAGGCCTTGGTAGAGGGTGTTTGCGTACCTGAGGACAATGGAGAGTGTTTCTGGAAGAAGCAGGGCTTGAGGGTGGGCAGGAACCACGTACTCAGTGCAGATAGTGGGGGGATTAGAAACCTGCCACGGCATTGGGATGGGGGAGTTGGGGTTCAGGAGGAACCCCAAGCCTGTGTTGCTGCGTGTGGGGGCACCAGGATCAGGGTGAGGGCATCCCATTTGGCCAAAGCTGTAGTCCAGTCAAGAGAAGTTGGAGGCCCGAGCCAGGGCAGGTGCCATGGGTTCGGGCAGGCAATGCTTGGGGACTGGGATCAAGCCAGTTCGGTGAGTGGACAAGGAAAGGAGAGAGAGTTGGGGCCACACCACTGAATGATGCAGTTGGGGGCTGGGGGAGGGGGCGTTTGGGCCCCCTGGAATGCCCCTGGTTGTACTTGGAGGCTGGAGGAGCTGGGTAAAGCCCCAGGGCGGTTGGGGAAGAACAGGATGCTGATGGGGAGCAGAGGCCCAGGGCGGGAGGATGGTATGGGAGCCAGGGCGGGGACTGGAGCGGGTGTGGTGTGTTCTGCAGTTTGCTCTCTGCTGCTGCGGCTGCCTGAGTCACCTCTGGATGTAGCGGGATGACACAGCTTCCTCGGACTGCAAATGCAAGGTGACCAGATGTCCTCCAAGCCGGGCCCACAGTTGTAGCTTGCTGGAGGGCGGCCAGCCAGGGCCAGGCTGCGGGCTGGTGTGGGCCGGGCTAGGGGTGCCAAGCGGGGTACCTCCCACATGCTGAGGGGGGCTGTGTCCAGAACAGCTGGACCGTGGGGGCCCTTGCAGTCTAGGACTTCATCCTCAGTAGGATGGGTGTCTGGCTGGTCTCTGGGACCAGCCAGGGCTGCAGTTAGTCGGTTGATACCTGTTTGATAGGTGCCCACTGGGTACCAACACCACAGTGGCCCCACCCACCCTTGTGGCCCACTGTGAGGGGTGCCTGCCTTGGAGTCTGTTGCTGAAAGGCTCCCAGTAGAGGCCAGCACGCCCTGGGTGGCCTCTGGTTTTGTGGATTGCACCTGTCGTGGGAGTCACAGGTGAGGGAGGGTGGGAGGGCAGCTGCTGATGTGCCGCTGGATGAACCCAAGCCTCTCGCACAGGACGATCATCCTCTGTTCCTGGGCCCTCCTTCCTCTCCTGCATCTCACATCCTTCTAGACCCGTAGATAATGGAAGTGGAAGGGCCACTCTGTCTTAGTCAGACTGGCTGGGTGGCTGAGGGGATGGAGCTTGGAGTCTCCGTTGTCATTCACCCCTTGGGAAAGAGCAGGTGACCCATCCAGAGCCCCTGTGCTGGCCTCAGAGAGTCAGCGGTGGCCCCGATGCATCCTGTCATCTGGGAAGAATCAGAGCCCCGAAGCTTTGAAATCTCTGTCTCCATGGGCATCCTTGCCCGGGACTGTTCAGAGGGGTCATCCAGCCCTCACCTGCCCTACTCACTTTGTTCTCTCTGTCTTTTTTTTTTTTTTTTTTCTTAAGAGACAGCGTCTTGCTCTGTCACTCAGGCTGCTGGAGTGTGGTGGTGCAATCACAGCTCGCTGCAACCTTGGCTTCCCGGCTCAAGCAAACCTCCCACCTCAGCCTCCCGAGTAGCCGGGTGCCATCACACCCGGCTATTAAAAAATTTTTTTTCTTTGTAGAGACAGGGCTTCGCTATGTTGCCCAGGCTAGTCTAAAACTATGGGGCTCAAGCATTCGGCCTCCAGAGGTGTTGAGATTCCCAGCAAGGACCACCGTGCCCAGTCCCAACTTTGTGCATAAAGTGTTCCCCTGTGGACCCCAAAGGTGGTCCTTCTCAGCTTGTGCCAGCACACCAAGAGATGTCAGGGCTGTCAACCCCTCACTGAGCGGGGTCAGACCCATGGGTGACCAGTGAATATTTGCTAGGATTTAAAAAGTTAAAAATGTCTGGGCAGGGTGGCTCACGCCCGTAATCCCAACACTTTGGGAGGCTGAGGCTGGAGGATCACTTGAGCCCAGGAGCTTGAGACCAGCCTGGGCAGCATGGTGAGACCCTGCCTCTCTAAAAAAATTTAAAATTCTCTGGGTGTCGTGGTGCCACAGCAGCAGTTCCAGCTGCTCGGGAGACTGAAGCAGGAGGATTGTTTGAGCCCAGGAGGCCTGCAGTGGGCCATAATCACACCACTGCACTCCAGCCTGGGTGACAGAGCGAGACCTTGTCTCTAAAGTGAAAATCAAAAGGTAAAACATGACTCTCCAGTTGCTGAGGTGGCTGCCTGGACTCATCTGCTCCTGAGAGGGCAGTTCTGGATGGCTGACCCTGGGTTGTGTGCCCTGCCTGCTGGAGGCCTGGGCTCCAGATCCTCATCTTCTACAAGGTTCCTCCATGGCGGAGCTGCCCTGCCCTGCGCTTTATGGAGCCCAGACCCTCGGTCTGGATCCTGAATGGAAGCGTCCTGGCTCCATCACTTATTCCCAGCTGCAGCCGCAGGAGTCACCTCTGTCTGAGGCTTCTGGTGGTTCCTTTTCCTTTATTATTTATTTATTTATTTTTTGAGACAGAGTCTCACCCTGTCATCCAGGCTGGAGTGCAATAGCACGATCTCAGCTCACTGCAACCTCCACCTCCCTGGGTTCAGGTGGTTCTCCTGCCTCAGTCTCCTCAGTAGCTGGGATTACAGGCACCTGCCACTGTGCTTGGCTAATGTTTATATTTTTAGTAGAGACAGGGTTTCACCATGGCCAGGCTGGTCTTGAACTTCTGACCCCGTGATCCACCCACCTCGGCTTCTCAAAGTGCTGAGATTATAGGCGTGAGCCACTGTTCCCAGCCTCCTTTTCCTTTAGAGGAAATGATTTCCCCTGCTGAGCTTTGTTTAGATGTACATCATGTTGAGGTGTCTGGCTTTGCATTGAAAGCCCTTCCTCTTCCATCAGAAAACCAGTCACATAAAAGGTGTTCCAGGTTATAGGCGGAGAACTTTGCTGCCAGGGACTGGGGTTGGGGGTGTGGGGGGTGATTGCTGCACCCTTTACCTAGGTCAGTGGTTGGGACCCCATAGCGGAAACTCAGACCGCCTACCCAGGCCCCCAGCTGTGGTGCTGACCACAGTGACCGGGGTGACTCTATGGAAACCCAGAGGAGCTCAGGGGCATCAGGGGCATGTGTGGCAGTGCTGGCGTTTTGTTAGCTGGTGGTCGTAAGACAGAATGCCAGGGCCTCGCTCCTTGGGGGTGCTGGGGTGGAGCTTGGCTGCACTGCTGACCAGGTGCTGATGCAGTAGCCCCTGCCTTGGGCCCCAGGTAGCGGGAAGCCGGCGTTGCGGGTGTCTTTGGGACCCCAGGCACACTCTTCCCCCTGGCATGATACCCTAAGGCTGCGTCTCTGGCTCTGGGGAGGGAGCCCTTTCTACTTGTGCTCTGGCAGCCCTGGAGACTGTGTGAGGGCGAACGATTCACAAAACCCCTTTTTAGGGCAGTCATCATTTTTAGATGAGTTGCTTTACAAACTTTTTTTGCACATGCAAAACTCTCCTCTGAATCTCCTCCCAAAAGCAAGCTGTCGATTTTCTTGCCTCTGATGTTTAAGGCGACTCTAGGTTAATGCTACTTGGATATATCTCATGTGTGGTGGGGAGAAGTAGGCGCCAGCAGCATCCCATCCATGCTGGGTTCCTGAGAGAAGGTTCGACACTTGGCTGGCCCGTCCCTTCTGCATCGCCTCTTGGGGGTTGGCTACAGAGGCTCGTGGCTTGTCCAGGCTTCCTTGGCAGAGCAGAGTTGTGACCTGCCCAAGGAAGTCGGGGGTGAGCTTGTGAGTACAGCGTCGGGCTGCCCAGGACCCCTGCCTCCCCCAGGTCTCTAGTTCCTCAGAGGGGCCCAGTGCAGGTGTGCCCTAAAGCACTGGCGACATGAGGGGAGCGAAGGTGTGCTCTAGCAGCCTTGGCGACCTTGACCTTGTAGAAGTTGTCAACTGCCCCTCCTGGGGTCACCACCAGCTCCTGTTCACCTCTGTGACATCACAGACGTCCCGGGAAGCCTCTCCTTAGTGGAAGGATCTCCACGCTGAACTCTGCCCCGGGTACCTGGCCGAGCCCTGCATGTCACCGTGGATCTGGCCAGACGGCCCTGTCCGCAGGACCTTCCTTTTCCGCCCAGCTCTGCTGCCACGGCGGGCAGGGGGCCTGGGGGCCTGGGAGCGGGTCCTTGCTGGGTGGGCGGCCGGGGTGTGTGGGAATTCGCGAGGCTCTGTAAACATCTGGTGACTCACCACATAGCTATGTTGTGGCCGGCCTGTGCACTGACGTGCTCACTGCAGAGCTGGAAGCGGTGCCCGCGGCCCCTCCCTCTGACATGGAAAAGTTTCTCATGGTGCTCCCAGCCGCTGGCATCTGCAGGTCCCCACGGTGGCCGAGGCAGCCGAGCCCCGGCTTCTCCACTGTCACACTTGCCCCAGGGCGGGTGCAGAGGAGCCTGGAGCCCACCTGGCCTTCTCCAGGACCAGCTGGTGTCGTCCTGTGCCGTCTACGTCAGCGCCCTGAGAGCAGCTGGCCTTGGCAAGGGCGGCGGGCTCCGCAGCCTAGTGTGGGACCGTCTCGCTTACGCGGTCCTCTGGTTGTGGGGATGGGTGCACTGCAGGGGTGGGACCCCAGTAGGAGGCGGGGCTGGAAGGTGAAGGGATTTGGGCCCGAGGGCTCCCTGGCACAGGGTAGGGGGGTCCTGGGCTGGCAGGGAGGGCAGGATGGGGTCACCCCCCCCACAGTGCCCATGTCCAGTGGAGGTGTTGCCCAAGGACACCGCCCACCACCATGTGCCACTCTGATGTTCCTTCTGCAGGAACTTGTGTCTGGTATTTGGGGTGTGGGAGTGGGTGCTGTGAACCCCTGTCCTACAAGCAGCCCCGCGCCCTCCGCCCGCCTGTCCCGGCTGCGGGATACGAATGAGTTTGTTTACTGCCTGCCAGCCTCGTGATGTCTGTGCAGCCTGACCTGAAGTCAGGATCATTTTTTGGGCTTCTCGGTTTCCATGACGACTGTGAGGGCTGGCTCGGTCCCAAGGTCGCCATGGCAACTATCGGAGGGATCATGCCGGGGATGCTTTGGCTGGGTTTTTCATGAATGATTAGAATGTGTGACACAATGCAGACGTGAGGACGGTGGCGGGGGCGGCGGCGGGGACGGCTCCCGCCAGACAGTCTAACGCTCGGCAAGGCGGCGGCTCCCCACCTTCCAAGTCTCTGGCTGCAGCGCCCGACCTGGTGCCCCTCAGGGGCCCCACACCCCCTCGGGCCGCAGGATCCTCGCTCAGGGGCAGCTTAGGTGGAGGTGGTGATGTCACAGCCACAGCGGCTGGGGCCGTGGTAGGTGACCCGTGGCCTGCGGGGAGGTTGGGGCGTGAAGGCGGCTGGGGCCTCACCCAGGCCCACCTTGGGGGAAACTGGTGATGGCCAGGGCTCCCCAGAGGCTCCCTCTCAGGGATCCAGGCTGCGTCCGGAGCACTGGAGTCTTTGCCAGGTTAGGGTGGCTGTCCAGCGGGGCCTTGGGGCCAGCACAGCCGTCTTGGGGGAGGGAGGTTTTGCCAGTGGTCACTTTGGTCTTCAGGACGGAGCACCCTGTGTCGCACGGGTGCAGACGTCTTGTCTGACTTCGGGGAGAGTCAGAGCAGGAAGCAGCCACTGCTGGCACCTGCTGGTCACCCCACAGCGCCGGTGGCCACAGCCCAGGCCCACAGGGCAGCAGGGGGCTGCATGTGGTTATTAGGCTCTGGGGTGGGGGTCCCAGCTGATCTTCGGACTGTGCTAGAGTGTGAGGTGTGGCCAGGCTACCTCCTGGAACCCTAGGCAGAGACAGAAGCTTGGCCAGGATGCCCTGGGGAGCCCCTCAGGATGGGCCGGGATGGTACCCCGTCTTGTTTTCAGGGTGCTGTGATCATCCATCCCAGGCTGAGGAGGTCCCTGCATGGGAGGCGGCCGCCCCGTCCTGCACCTCCGGTCCTGACCTGCGCTGGCTTCTCTGCTTGCCCGTGTTTTCCAGCTACGAGTTCCAGAGAGCTCTGTCCTGGTGACTGTGCCCAGGTTATGACGACTAATCCCAAACCGAACAAGGCATTAAAGGTAAGGCTGGCTCCAGGCAGGCCCCGTCTCAAACACAGGCATGGGAAAGGCCCCCGGCTTGACACCCCGGCTTCTCAGGACTGCCCTGAGCCTGTGATGGAGGCCTCTCTGTTGTCAGGAAGAGGTGGGGTGCTGTGTCCAGGGGATGTTCACAGGAGAGGTGGGGTCAGGATCGGGGACTGTGGCCCCAGTAGATGACTCCCATGCTGTGGGCTTGGTAGGGTCTGATGCCCACCCGACAGGGCCATGTCCCCGCTGGGCACTACTGCATGAGCTCATCCCCTTGCTCCAGGTGTGAGCAGTGTGGCCTCATCCTCCCACTCCAGGTGTGGGCAGCGTGGCCTCTGGTGAATGGGATGCTCCGGCGCCCAGGGCCTGAGCCCATCTGTGCCCGGTGCTCCCCGCCTCTGCAATGGTGCATGCCTGTGAACCGGCTCAGTCTCAGTAGCAGAACATATGTGCTCTGGGTCCTCATGGGCTCTGAGGCTGTCAGTAACCAGGAGTGACCAATGTCACCGCTGGCTTTTCCCATTCAGAAAGGGTCCTGTGGGGCCACAGCCATCATGTGGGCTGCCTGCATGCACGGCATCTTGTGGTCCGAAGGCCAGCCCCGAGAGCGTGCGGGCATGCAGGGGTACCGCTGGGTCCCTGACCATGCCGGTGCTGGTCCCAGGCGGGCACCCCATGTTCTCCTGCCACTGACCCTGCGCTGTGGCCCCCCAGGTCAAGAAGGAGGCGGGCGAGAACGCCCCGGTGCTCAGCGATGATGAGCTGGTGTCCATGTCAGTGCGGGAGCTGAACCAGCACCTTCGGGGCCTCACCAAGGAAGAGGTGACCCGCCTGAAGCAGCGGCGGCGCACACTCAAGAACCGTGGCTACGCGGCCAGCTGCCGCATCAAGCGGGTAACGCAGAAGGAGGAGCTGGAGCGGCAGCGCGTGGAGCTGCAGCAGGAGGTGGAGAAGCTGGCGCGTGAGAACAGCAGCATGCGGCTGGAGCTGGACGCGCTGCGCTCCAAGTACGAGGCGCTGCAGACCTTCGCACGCACCGTAGCCCGTGGGCCCGTGGCACCCTCCAAGGTGGCCACGACCAGCGTCATCACCATCGTCAAGTCCGCCGAGCTCTCCTCCACCTCTGTACCCTTCTCGGCCGCCTCATAGTGCCTGCCAGAGGCAGGTGGCGGCGGGCAGGCGAGCAGGGTCGCACCCCTTAAGCCTGTCACTGGGACGCACTTTCAACATCCAAGTCCAAACGCAGGCCCCTCAGGTGCAGGCAGCTCAAGCCGGGATGAAACTATGGTGCAGGGCGAGGAGTGGGCTCCAGTGAGCTCACCAGTCCACATGCACACACACGCACCCACTCACGCCTGCCCCCGGCTCCCTGCAGGATGTGTCTGTGTGTGGGAATTGGTGTCTTGTGCCCGTGGGAGTCAGGTTGGATCGACGGAAAGGCCTTCAGGAAGTTCCGCTGTCCCCTGCAGGGGCTGCCAGGAGAGACAGCCCTGGAAGTCAGGCCCCTGTGGCTGGGTTGGTGTGCAGCTCGTCTTCCACTCCTGCCGTGAACAGCTATCAACACCTGTCCTGCCACGGCCCTCCAGCTGGTGCGGGGGCCCTTCGCTGCCCTAACTCCACAGCCCCTGCGGAGGAGCGTGGATGGTGTCCGTCCTTCCAGCTGTCCTGTTGGAGTGGCTGTGACCTGCTTCCACCTTAGCGGGGGCCTGCGGGAGTGGGCACGGTGTGGGAGGCCGCCTGCGTGGGGTGGTGTGTCTGTGTGTACACGTGGGTGTGTGCAGGCACATCTGGCATCACGGCACTGGGGCTGATGGGGGCAGCTTGCTGGCATTCACCAAGGGAGGGCCTGTGGGCACGCATTGCAGAGAATGGCTCATATGTTATGAGGTCTCCTCTGTGCTCTGGTGATCGGAGGAGATTGCATAGCGCAGAAGCCCCCTGCCCACGGGAGCCGGCCGCCCAGACACGGACCTCGCAGGCTGTCAGATCTTGGTGGAGACAGGCAGAAGCATCCCATCAGGTGACAGTGAGCGGAACTCAGGCTCTGTGTCCTGGAGCTGCTTCTCGCCAGCTGTGGTCAGTGTAGGGGGAATGAGGAGGTCTTTTGGGGGCCTGGGGAGGGGGTGCAGCCTGGGGGATGTTGGTGGACGTGGACGTGGAGGTGGGAGGGAGGAAGTCTCGTGGGGTGGCGGAGGAGGTGGGAGCTGTGTGCGAGAGCAGGTGGAGAGCCTTCAGGGGCAGGACTAGGACACGGCTCAGTTGTAGAGGAGCTTGGGAGTGAGGCTGGCACTCTGGAGGGCACGGTGGGCTGGGCGGTGGCAGGCACCAGGCCAGGAGAGCCTGATGGATGTGGTTCCCGCGTGCAGACCCCCAGGAGCACAGCCACGGGCTGCAGGCCCTCAGCACTCAGTCCTCATCTGGAGCCTTCGCCTGCTTCTCCTTCCCAGAGCACTGAGGCACCAGCGGGGTTGGCACTCCACTTTGGGCTTCCTTTCCTGGAGAGCCGCTTGAGGGTCCCTCCTGTGACTGGGGCCTCCACGGTGGGAGCCGGGGGATCGCAGAGCCCCTGCCTGGGGGAGCTGGCGGATGTGAGCCCCATTTGGGGCTGCCACGTAGGACATGCAAGGCGGTGCCTGGGGCCCCAGCTCCCTCTCAGTGGTCACTGCCCACCCGGTAACACCCCCCACCAGCTGCAGAGCCCCAGCCAGTGCCAGCCACACTGGGAGGTCGCAGGACAGGCAGCCCCAGGGCTGCGACTTGGTTCTGCATCTACTGTTAGAAGTGAGCGGGAATCTGCAGGCCCACCAGGGCCACTGGGTCCCAAGAGAGCAAAGGGCTGCACGTTCCCAAACAGCCGTTGCCCCCCGTGGCCGTGGTAGGTAATCCATATTGGATGTCATAAGGACCAGGGGGATATTTAAAGAGAGAAACAGAAAATATATAGAGATATAAAATTATATTCACAGTTTATCTACAGATTTTTCGTAACAATCTTTGTTTTCCAGTTTGATACTGTAAATCTATCAGCAGAGCTGCGGGCGCGGGCATGGTGGGAGTTGGGAGCCCCAGGCCGCCTGCCGTCCCCCTCCGTCTTCCCACGGACCACACCAGGCCACTGGGCCCCACAGGACAGGCCACAGCGGGTGGCCGGTTCTGTCCCGTCTTGAGGTTCTTGGGATCCATGTCTTGTGGGCCGTAGGCGTCTACCTGCCTGTGGTGCTTTGCCAGAGAGGGGACTCCCCCCCCCCGGCCCCCAGGGTGGACGGAGCCCGTCACCGTCCAGGGCCGGGCCAGGGAAGGATGGCGTGTTCTGCTTTTCCTTCCAGATTGTTGAAATTTCATTGTCATGATTTAATATATGGATTTTTTTAATTTAAAAGACGAAGGTCTCTTTGTCGAGTGGGTTTGTTTTCTGTCTCCATGCCTCCGGCTTCCCAAAGAGATCCAGGTCTTCGAGTTTCCCAGGCGTGGGGACTCCTGCCCTCGCCTCCACACCGCCTCACCCTGGCCTCTGTGCTACTGGGCAGTTCCATTTCAATATTTATTTTTGTGTTGCTTTTTATCATGATATAAATTATTGAGAACAGATCACATGTGGGCCCGTGTCTGGCCGCCGCCGCCCTGCTCTGTCCCTGCGGCCACCACCTAATTTATTGCCGTGCGTCCTGCTGCTGTGACCGCTTTTGTACCTTTGCAATAAAGAATTTTCTGGTTTCAGACTCTTGCGTCGTGTAGTTGGTGCTTTCAGCTGGGGCTTTCTTGGGCCAAGAACCACTCCCCCATCCCAGGGGACCCCGCCTGTCCCTCACCAAGGAGGGTCAGGGTCAGGATCTGGGCACCATGTGTAAGTGGGTTTCTCAGACTGCCAGCCCCTGACTGACGCTGGGACAGCCACAAGGGAGGTGCCAGTCAGGTGGCCACGTCCTGGGCCTGGTCTCTGAGGGTCAAGCTGCAGTCCTGAGCATCTCCGTCTGCTCCACCCGGAGCCTTCTGTCCAGGCAGCCTCTCTCTTCCAACGAAGGAGCAGAAAGCAGTGCGGCGGTCAGCGTCCCCCTTCCCCGTGAGACCCCTCATCCAGCTTTGCTGGACTCTCAGTGGAGCCTGCAGGAAGTTCTGAGCCAGACAGAGTCTGTCCGGGAGCAGAGAGCAAAGCCCCCTGCACAGCAGACGGAAGCCTGAGGACTCGGAAAAGTCAAGGGCCCGCCCAGATGCTGTCCCTGCCCTGCCTGACCTTCCGGGGAGAGCAGCCCCTGCCCACCCGTCCCCATTTTTGGGGCTGAGCTGACTGGGGTCTGAACACTCTCCAGTGCTGGACCATACTGGGTGAAATCCCAACTCAATTTTTTTTGAGACAGGATCTCACTGTCACCCAGGCTGGAGTGTGCAGTGGGATGATCACGGCTCACTGCAGCCTCAACCTCCTGGGTTCAAGCAGTCCTCCCATCTCAGCCTCCTAAGTAGCTGGGACCACTGGCATGCACCGCCATACCCAGCTAATTTTTGTATTTTTTTGTAGAGATGATGATTTACCATGTTGCCCAGGCCGGTCTCAGACTCCTAGGCTCAAGCAATATGCCCACATTGGCCTCAAGTGCCGAAATTCCAGGCGTGAGCCACTGCACCCCGTCAAAATCCCAGCTCTCAGCAACCATGTGGCCTGGGGCCAGTCCCTCCCACCCCAGCCTTGCTTCCTGTGAGTTGGGTGTGGAGGTGAGTGCCGTAGCTGGTGCATGGTGCAGTGGGAGTGGCATCTACTGGGGCTACGGCAGCCTGAGCTTGTCCCTAGCAATGGCAGGGATGGCACTTTCCCCAGCTAAATCCAACCTCCCTGTGGCCCACCCTGTGGCTCTGGGCCCAGCCTGCTTCTCCTGGGGGAGGACAGATGGGGAAGCTATGACAGGAGACACCACCTCGAACAGCCACGCAGCCTACACCCAGGCCAGGCTGGGGCCCCCAGGGCTTCCAGCCTTTCTTGTGGATTGCTGAGGATTCTCAGCTGGACCATCTCCAGATGAGGACACTGAGGCTAGGAGGGGCTAGAGAGCTTGGCAGAGCATCTAGCTAAGACACGTGGCTCCTGCCTGCCTCGAGGCCTGCTCCTCTGTTGGGGCCTGTCACTGGGGAACCCCTTTTTCAGCAGTGATGATGACACTGGAACCACGCTGTTCTCTGCCCTCTCCCCCTTGCATGTGCCCATGCTCCCTCCCGAGGCGGGCGAGCCTGGCCTGGACCGCCTCACGCTGCCTTCATCCATGCAGAGTGGGTTTAGCCCTGAGGGCTTTCCTTCGAGCTGTGCTGGAAACCAGCAGAAGCAGCCTTGTCTGCAGGGGAGAGGCATCTGTGAGGGGCAGGAGGCAGGGTGGAGAGACGGCCTCTGCAGAGCTGGCTCACTGGTGTCCAAGTCGCTGCTCTGTGACCTCAGGCAACTTGCTACGCCTCTCTGAGCTCTGTCGCCGTCCTGGCTGGTGTGAGCGCTGAGTGTGTCAGTTTCCTGGTACTGCTGGCATAGGAGCCCAGTCCTTGGCCCTCAGCCTTTGCCGCCCAGAGCCCATGCGGTATCTGGGTCTCCAGAAGGGGAGCTGTCGGCCACACACCCTCCAAACATGAGATTTGGGCAATTCAAGCCCTAAACGGGTGGCCTTCCCCGGGGCAAGGGCAGAGAAGGCCCAGGGTTTGGCCAGTGTCCCCAGCCTCCAGAAACTGCCCCTTGGCAGCAGTTACCTGGGGAGCACCATGCTCCCACCTGCTGATGGGGTGACAGATGGTAGCCACCTGGTGGGCCTCCCCCTGCAGAGGTCCAGTAAGGCGGGTGGGGGTCTTTCTAGCCTGAGGGGAGCTCGGTCTCATCAGGCAGCCCAGCTGGGCCCTGCAGACCCACTGGCCTTGAGTCCCCACGTCCCCAGCCCAGAAAGCAAAAGTCTGGGAGTGGATCCTCTCTAGCCCGGGCACCACTGGTCTGTTGCCACCCTGCTGAGTCCCTCAGAGAGCTGAGACACATTTCCCGCTGTTCCTGGTGGCCATGGGTGGGGGCAGTGTGGGTGGGAGCTCTGGTTCCTGGGTGGTGCCCACTGAGCCTTCCTGTATGCTGTGCCTGCTGTTCCCTGGCTCTCCACACCCACTGCCTGAGCCCCCCTCCCAGGCTCTGCCCACTTCTACTGCCCCAGCCCCCACCCAACCTGTGCTTCGGGCCCCAGACACACAAAGCTGACTGATACCTGCAGGCTGGGTCATTGCCCTCTCCCCTTACGGGCCCTGGGCTTAGGGGGGTGTGCCCCTACAGTGACACCCCTCACCCTGATCCAGCCACATGTCCTCCCAGAAGCCCCTTCAGTCCCTGGGTGGCAGTTGTTCTCGCCGCTGGGATTTCCAAGGCCACTTGGGTGCCTCCAGCTTCCTGAGGGCAGGGCATGTGTCTGAGGCTTGGCTCCTCAAACCCAGGGCCGTGCCTGGCACGTGGAGGAATAAGAGAAGGGGAGGAGGCAGGCGCCCAGGCAGGAGCCCCCGCTGTGCCCCAGATGCTCAGGGCTCTGCCCTCGTGGCCTCTACCTCCACTGTGGATGGGGCTGGCACGAGGCCCATTCTGGAGGAAGCAGAAGCTCCCAGGAAAAAGACGGCCGCTGTGATCTCACTGCCTGACCTCTGCCCTGCACTGCCCTGGGCAATGAGGCTGTCCACCCCAGATGGGTGGGACCCCCTTTCCCGCGTGCAGACTCTGAGCAGTCGGCCTCCTGTGACCCCCCACTGCTGCCTGCTCCCAAGGCTACAGGCCCTGCTGGAACAGAAGCTAAGACTCAATAGAAAATCCAAGGTGTTTAAATATAAATAAGAGCGATTCTCGCAGCCCTGTGGCACTGGCCAGCCTCACAGACACCCAGTGGTTCTGTGAACCATCCCAGGCACACCTTGTGGGCGCCTGGCCAGGGCTCCCTGTGGCTGGCATGTGGAGTCACGTGGGCCCTTCTCCACGTGCCCACAATGGCCGCAGCAGGCTCTGAGGAGGCCCAGCCCCAGCCAGCCTGTGTGGACCCTGCCAGCCTGCAGCACCCAGAGCTGCTGTGTCAGGGCTGGGCTGCCCAATGCCCTAGCGCCCCTCCCTGCAGCTGCCCAGCCTGGGATCCGTCCACTGTCTGTCTCGAGTCGGGGCGTCTGACCCACTCACAGTTCTCATGAGGCCCGTGCAGCCGAGGCCCTGCAGCCACACTCACTGCCCGCCCCACAGTGACCCTGGGGACTGATGGCAGGTGATCCCAGGGTGTCCCCAGGCTCTTCCGTTTGGCTCAGGTGCCCTCTCCTGGGGCGGCCGGCCCACCTGGGTGCCTGGCAGGGCCATTAAGTGCCCTGAACACCGGGCTGGAGGGAGGATGGGAAGTGGGCTCCGAGGGCCTCACAGGAGGGCTCTCAGGAGAGGCCCCACCTTTGGCAGGAGGGTTGGTGGATCGGGGACCCTATTCTTCCCAGAGGCCTGGGCAACCTGGGTCCCTAGCTAGGTGCCAGCAGGCCAGGCCCCTCTACAGGTCCTCTGAGGGGATCAGCATCCGCTTCTCCAGGCTCCGGCTCTTCCTGCTCCCACCAGAGCTGCCACCAGGGTGGGTGCCAGGTCGGGGTACCTCGTGCGTGGCCTGCTGTGTGTAGTGCTGGTAGGTGGGAGAGAAGTTGTGGATGGCGTCCTGCACGATGTCCTGGGGGCTCACTGTCTCCCTGAGGCCGCTGGAGATGCTCTGCATGGGTGCCGGGGGAGCTGGGGGAATGCAGCATGTGAACCCCACCATCCCCCCTGCACTTCAGCCCCCGGACATGCCCCTCAGCCCTGCCTACCAGATGCCCAGGGCTGGGGCTCCTGCATGTCCAGGTCTGGCATCAGCCAGCGGAGGGTGGCCCCAGACCCCTGGACCCCAGTCCAGCTTCCTCCACCCAGCACTGGGACTATCCCTGGCCAGACCCCTGCCAAGGACCACATCGCCCTGAAGTTTCAGAGGGGCTCCGAGCAGCGGGGTACACCTTTGGCTGGCCTTGGGTGGGCACCCTGGCCACTCCACAAAGACTGATGAGAAGCCAGGCAGGCAGGCCACAGGCTGTCCCCACCCTAATGGGGGGTGTGCCTGGCAGGGGATGCCCAACCCCTATCACCATTGGGATCTGGGACTACCTGGATCCCACACAGCCCAGGTGCCTGTCTGGAGCTGGATGCCCACTGGTCATCTCCCTGCCCAGTGAGCTGGCATTCCTGGACCTCGAGAGTGGCATGGACACAGACCTGGTGCCCCAGCTGGAAGGCAGGGCTGTGCGTTCTGGGTGCCCCGGCTGGAAGGCAGGACATACCTGGCGAGTTGTCCTTCTTCTCTGCATACACCTCACAGGGGAAGGCGTAACGCAGGGCCACAGAGGCGAACAGCATCTCCATGCAGATGATGAAGTTTTGGTAGCCAGCGGCCAACGTGCCAGCCCCCAGCCTGTTCCCGCCGACGGTCTCCACCTCCGGGATGACCCCACATCGCTCCAGGATGGCCAGCAGCAGCCCTGCAGATGCCACAGCCACTCAGCCCCAGCCCCCGATGGGGTCTACAGGGGAGGAAGAGGCCCCGGACCCTGAAGCAGCTCCCCGAAGCGCTGTGATCCTGTCCATGTGGTTTCGTCCCACCCAGGGGAGACTGAGGTTTAGGGGGGCAGGGCACCTCCAAAGTCAGGGATCTCAGCACAGCAGATGCTCAGGAGCCCTCCTG